ATGCATACCTCCTGGTCACACATGCAAGTGTTTCTCTTGGTTATATACCTAGGAGTAGGGTTGCTGGGTTTTAGAGGTGCAAATATTCAGCTTTGTGAGATAATTAATGCCAAATAGCTTCCCAGTCCCTCAGAGTTTATAAGAAATCTCAATATTTGGTATTTTCACACTTAATTTTTGCCAGTCCAGTGGGGGGTAAAATGGTATATATCTATTTTTTTTATAGAATGGAAGAGCCATCTTTACCTAAAGCTTTTTAAGCTTCCTCTTTCTTTCTATATTAAGAGCTGGCAGCCTCATTTGACATTACTGTGCCTGGGAATTCCTTTGAGGGAAAGCCATTTATCTGTGTGATAGCTTCTGCTAAGAGTATAAAAACTGAGATGAGGTGGAGGTTGCTAAATGGGTTGTTTGATTGTTGCTTTTAAGTTGATCTTGAATAAATACCAAATTATACACACTCTGAAATTTCTTGTTAATACTCTACAGAATTGGAAATGTGTAAATTATATTTTTTACTATTGGCCCATCACCAATTAATCTGGTCTTGAGATTATACCTATCTGCATAACTATTTTAAATAAAAGCCCCCTTCAATCTGTTGATCTGGAATATTTCCCTGAATCAAGTTTAGTAAAGCTATCTTTGTGTATTTCTTTATATTTTAATCGTACCAAAGAGATTCATTCGACATACCCTCCTTTGCCATGGTTACATGATGCAACACAAATTAATCTCTCAAAGAAATTTTAAAACTTCAAATGTTTATCTTACTACTGTTATCCACTGAATTGACCCACACACATTAACCAGGAAAATAAGCCCAAACAGATGGTACTACTATGTTGTGCCCTAAAATGTGTGGGTTTTTTTAATTGAAAAAGCCATCTTGTATATAAGTGGTTTTTATCAATAACTAAAAACACATGGAGATGGAAAAAGAGAATCCAAGACAAATGGCAATATATGTACATTTTTAAGAACTTTTAGAGCTCCTTGTGTTTATTGTCTTTAAAACAAACACCAGTTTGACATTTGTCTATTTTTTATTTTTTTGCCTTTGAATGAAAGAATTTTGAAGGAAGGGACTGTGCATGTGTTTTATGTTTCTTTATTGTATTGTTAAATATAGTGTCATATCCCAAAGGGGAACTCAGAGAATATTAATTGAGTGCAAAAGTCCCCTCTGTACCATCAATATTTGTTGACTGACAAAATGACTGAGCGAATATTCATGACCAAACCATAAGAGAGCTGCAGTTACTTTCTTCTCTATGACACTGTAGCTATTATTGGAAATAATCATTCATCAGGGTGAATACATATATGCCAGGTGAGTGTTTTTCAACTTTATTTATTTAGCTGACACTGTGTTTAGTCAAGTTACTACCTGCCATTGGTTTCTTTCAATGTTCTCTTTTAAAGTCAAGTGTTAACCCACTTTTTCTCATTCCTATAATGTCAGATATTCACTTCTATTCTGATCAAGGGACATCAGGAGCTGCTGAAGGAAGACTGACTCCTGCCAAAGCTCCCTTCAAATCGGGGCTTTTCCTTTATGTCATGCAGTGTAAGTGAGCTTTTGGTTGTTTGTTTGCCTGTGGTGATCAATAAGATGGGGCGAAGCTAGAGGTTAAGCTCTTACTTCTCACTTGGACTGCAACGTGACAACATACTCTCTGTAGTAGGTGGCCTCCAAGAAGGTCCTCAGTGATTCCTGCTTTCTGTTATTCACACCCTTTTGTAGGGCTCTCCCATGTTGTATGAGGAGTGGTATGTATGACCAACAGAATATGGCAGAAGTAGTGGTATGTCACTTGCAAGATTAAGTTCTGAAAAACTGCAAGGATACAGGACCACAGGCCCAATTGGAAACTCAGCTAGTTCTATAAAGGACCTGCTTCTGAAGCTGGGAAGTTCTAACCCGGATCCTGAGCCAAGAAGGCCCAGGTCTGTCTTGGATCTAGAAAAGTGAGAGAGAGAAAAACCTGAATACATAAATAAGAATAAGTAGGAATTTCGCTAAAAGATAGTGAATAAAAGAGAATATCTAATAAAAAGAAATGAAATAGCGATACATGCTACAACATGGTTGAACCTTAAGAACATGCTAAATGAAAAAATCCAGTCACAAAAGACCAGACACAGTATGATCCCATTTATATATAATGATTAGAATAAGCAAATTTAGAGACAGAAAGTAGATTGATAGCTGCTTAGGGCAGGAGAGTTGTGGGAGGGGGTGGTGGGTTGGGGTGTGTAATGGCTTAGTTCAGGATTTCTTTTGGAAGTAATAAAATTTTCTAAGATTGATTGTGGTGATAGTTGCAAAACTCTGTAAATATACTAAGGCCAATGAATTGTACACTTTGAATAGGTGAATTGTATGGTATATGAGTTATATCTCAACAAGTATGTTTTTTAAAAAGTGTGGCTTCTATCTTGGGCTTTCTCTCTCTTCTATCACTTGTTCGGAAGGAAGTCAGCTGCCATGTCTCGAGGACACTCAGACAACCTAACTATGGAAAGACTTATGTGGCGAGGAACTGAGGTTTTTAGCTAACAGTCAGGGAAGAACTGAGGCCTTATCAATGATCTTTGCTAATCTTATATTGTAGGTGGGAAGTGGTGTCTTACTGAAGTTTTAATTTGCAGTTTCCTATTATGAGTGATATTAGGCATATTTAATATATTTAAAGGCGTTCGTAGGAGGAGAACAAGAAATAAAAACAAGAACACCATATTTAATGACATTAGGAAACGTCTTTAATCCCAAGGCACTGAAACAAAGGTTAAAAGTGGATGGAGAAATGGCAAATGACTTAAGTTAGAAAAATGTAAAACTTAGGCACTGCAAAGGAGTAGGACACCAGCGATAAAAACACAGATTTGTCCCATGAAACCTCAGAAAGCCACAGCAATTAGAGGGGTAAAGAATGTGCAGGGAGAGAAGGAGCTGAAAGGAAGTGGATTATTTAAAAGCTTGTAAAAAGATCAGGTAGCACCCAGATCCTCACCCTCCACTCCCACCCCAAGTAGTCAGATGCTTTCTTCTCCTTTACCATACAGGAGACAAAAGGTGTCTTCCTTGGAGAAATTGAACAAAGAACCTCTGGACCTGGGCCTACTGGGATCTGAGGAATGAGTCTGAAAACAAAGGTATGGTATGAAAATGTGAAAGTCTGTATTCTAAATAGGACACTGCTCTTTTCCCTACCCAGCTCCCGAAAGCTAGCAGCCATGCGGGAAATAATGGAAAATTGAACTGATACAGAGAAAATGTCATTTTCTCTACTTTTTTTTTTTTAGAGCCAGCTTCATAGTATAACAGGATTCATAACATACCCAGGATGTAAACCACCTCTCCTCACCGTCACTTACTATCATCCTGGTGCACCATCATTCCTTACTTGGACTATTGTAGCATTTTCCTATCTGGGCACCTGCTTTCTACCTTTATCCCTAGAGCTAATTTCCAGCTTAGCAGTCAGAAGAATCTTTTTATAATGGAGATCAGATTGTGTCACTCTTCTATTCAAAACCTTCTAGTGATCACAGGCTTCAACCAGAATAAAAACCAAAGTCCTTACCATGGCCTACGAAGGCCATACATGATCTGTCCTCTCTGCCCTCTGCTCTATGACCTTGTGTTTTTCTAGTCTCTGTTTTTCTCCCTCTACTTCAGCCATATTGACATCCTTGAAAATGCTAGGGTCTCTCCTACTTCTGGACTTTCGTATTTGCTGTTCTCTCTACCTGGAATCCTCTTTTCCAGGTATTCCCTTGGATAGCCACCTCATTTCCTTTAGATCTTGCTTAAATGTAATCTTAACAGAGAGGCCTTTCCTGGCCATTCTATATTAAATAACATCCTTACCATCACTCTTACTCTGCTTTATTTTTTTCATAGCATATAATTCCAAATATTATATATTTATTTGCTTAATTATTTATTGTATTTCTACCTTGACTAAAATGTAAGCTCTTGAGGGCCTAGACGTTTTCTATTTTTGCTCTTGCCAAATCCCCAGAACCTACTATAGCACCTGGTACATAGTAGGTATAAAATGAAAATTTGTTGGTTGAATGAATCAATCAATAAATCACTCAAAAAGGATGATAATGTAGTTTTCTTTTTTGATTTTTTAAAATTGTTAATTATTGCAATAAATTTTCTAGTGTTGAACCAGCCTTGCATTCCTGATGTGATCCCACCTAATCTAGTGTTTAATTCTTTTAAGATGCTGCTGAATTTTATTTGCTAGTATTTTAGTTAATATTGTCTCAGTAGCTTTTCTTTAATTGTGGCACCTTTACCAAATATTGTACTTATATCTACTTTAGGTTGAAACAAAGGAGCATTTTCCTCCACTCCAGAAAGCCTGTATTTACTAGCAGAAGACAGAAGAGTTTGCTCTAATTTAAAGAACCAGTATTATTTCAGCTCATATTTTTCTTCACTGTCTGAGGCTGAGGTTCCTCTCAACTCAAGTCCTATTTACTAATCATGCCCATCAAAGATAGTGAAAAATTCTCTGAAAAGATGTTTATTCCCCTCAAAGAATTCTGACCTTCCCGTTTGCTTGGTTAGAAATAATCTTGGGGCCAGCCAAGTGGCTCAGTTGGTTAAGAGTTGGCTTAAGAGCGTGAGCTCTGAGCAACAGGGCCACCAGTTCAATTCCCACATGGGCCAGTAACGCTGCGCCTGAGCTGAGCTGTCGCTGAGCTCCCAACATGTGGCAGGATGGCTCAGCTGGTGTAACAAGATTGCCTGTTTGATGGTGGGCTATGCCCACCTGCAACTAAGACTGAACTTGGCACTTTGAGCTTAGAGGTCACGTGCTGCCGATAGGAAGCCAGATGGCGACTGGCGCTCTCCACAACGAAGATTGAAGAACAACTTGGCTGGTCCCCTTCCCCAATTCCCCAACGCTGTTTTCCTCCCCCAACTCCCCAGTAAAAAAATCTTTGAAAAAAAAAAGAAATAATCTTCCTAGGATCCTTAGGTTTACCTTCATTACAATCTTTCTCTGGGATGAAATTTCTGGGAGAGGGACCTCTGGTCTGAACCTTGACTGTCTTTTAAGCAGAATGTTGACCATAATTTAACTTTTAATTGATGACTCAGGATAATTGTTAGGAAAATCATTTATATATGTTATAACACTAATATCCTCATAGGTTGTTGCAGTAGGTGTGTGTGTTTTCCATTACCTTAAGGAGATCCAGACATGTATTTTGTTATTTGGTCAGCATTCTTATTTTTTGCTGTTTCTCCCTTCTTAACTTTTCTCTTAGAAATCAGCTTTTTTTTATTTGTTCCTTTTCATTTCCCATGGGTATTACAAGACATCAACATACTTGTTAAAATTGTCCCTAAGATAAAAATCAATAGCCTGAGGGAATTCCTTATGGCAAAATGAAAGACATTAAAAACTTTTGACATCTCTTTTGGCTGTTTGGAGTTTTTTCTTTCATGTTTATAATTCTATTCTGGATCATCTACTATACTATAAGCTAAGTAGAAAGGCAGTATAGAGTTGCCTGAGTTCAAATTATGGCTAGCTCTGGGCTTTTGGGCAACAATCATAACTTTTCTGAGCCTTAGCAAAAATGAGGATAATAATTATATTTACCTCATAGGTTGTTGCAAGGCATAAATCATTTAATACATGTAAAACATTTGGAATGGTGCCTACAACATATTAAGTACTCAATTTTAACTTTTATTATTGTTACTATATTCTTAGAGAGTCACTTTACCTGATGTTTTGTGGGGGTTTTTTAAAATTTATTTTTTATTGTTAGTTTCAGGTGTACAGAACATTGCAATAGTTATCGTTTTCACCCTTCGTACAGAAGCATACCTGATGTTTTTTAAGTGTCTGATGAGCATAGCTGAATATGGTCAAGGCCATATTTATATCGCCTTGTATCTTAAGTTCAGTAATGTCATTTTTCTACCTTTTTTTTAATCATTTTTTTTGTTTATTTGTTTGTTTGTGTGTTTTAAATTTTATTGGAAACAGTGTGTTTTTCCAGGACCCATCAGCTTCAAGTCAAGTAGTTGTTTCAATCTAGTTGTAGAGGGTACAACTCAGTGGCCCATGTGGGGATCAAACCTGCAACCTTGGTGTTATGAGCACTGCGCTCTAACCAACTGAGCTAACTGGCCACTCCATTTTTCTGTCTTTTAAGTGGGGAAATTGAATTATAGAGAAGGAAAGTGATTTACTCAATCACACAAAACTGTTCAGGAACCATGAGTAAGACCTAACTGTTAGTATTCCCCTTTGAATGCTTTTCACAAATCAGTTATTGATATCATATGATTATTGATACACATTGAAAACATAGATTCCATAGTGGAGTGGTTTTAGATGCATTGTTCATATGGCACTATATTTCTGCTACATTTCATTGGCTGTTAAAGTAGACATTATCACTACCATATTTATTCATACCCATATTATCTTGAACATATTATGAAGATGGACCTTAGTCTAAGAAATTCACTTGCTCAAAGCATAATGTTTTCAGACTTGGACTAAGTAAAAGATAGGATTACATATTTGAGAAGCACTAAGTTCTAGCTACAGCAAAATGACACAGAGGGCAAGAATTATAGGTTCAGAACACAGAAAGTCTGAGACATAATCTCATTTCTACTCCAGTATGCTATCCTGTTAAAAAAAATTCCTCTAATTTTCTCGCTTGACAATGAAAAAAATTATATGCACCAAATAACTTTGATTATGTCTCACATCTGCTTTAAAAACTTTATTTGTGGGCCAGCTGAGTGGCACGTTGGTTAAGAGCTGGCTTGGGATGCCAGAGGGCCCCGGTTCGGATCCCACATATGAGGGCCAGTGACAGTGCCCTCTACAGCTAAGATGCTGAACAACAGCTCAACCTGGAGCTTGGCTGCCAGTGAGTCGCCAGCGACAGCGATGGCGTGGGCTGCAGCCCCTGCTGCAGTGGGTTGCCATGGGCTACCATGTGTAGCCAGCAGCCAGCGTGAGCGGCCAGCAGGGCCAGTGAAGCAACGTCCTCCACAACTAGACTGAAGAACCAAAGGACAGCAACTTGTCTGTTCCCCTTTCCCCAATTCCCCAATAAACAAACAAACCCAAAAAACCTTTATTTATTTATTTTTAGTGGCTCCTCATAGGTTAAGTCTTAATTTGTAACCTTGTCACATAGGATCCTTAATAACTGTCCCCAGCATACCCAAATAATTTAGGATTCTTTTGTTTCATGAGACAGAAAATCTGATTTAAAATGGCTTAAGTAAACGTGGGAATTTGTAGGTTAACATAACTTAAAAGCCTAGATCTAGGGGCTAGGGAGTGTCACTGGGACTTATTTCCTCTCTTCATCTCTTAGTTTCGTTTTCTGCTGTGTCAGAATCATTGCCTGCCACAACGTGCTCACATCTCAGCAGCTCCAAGCTGACAATATCTTTACTACTAGCAACTTTGTAAGAAAAGACCATGTGGCTCTCTTAGTAAGTGTCATTGCATCTTACTGTCTGTTCCTGAGCCACCTCTAAAGCTTGAGGAATATGTTGATGATTCACCAGGTTTGAGTCACATATTCACTCCTGGACTGTAGCTAGAGTCAACTCTACCCGAAGTTTATCTAGTCAGAAAAGAGGGAGAGGATGGTTTATAAGAGAAAATTAAGGTCTATTACCAGAAGAAGGTTAAAATGACGCAGAGCAGCAAAGACAATTGTCCACTGTAAGACTTCCAAACTCGTTGGTTGCTATACTCCCCTCTATAAATGTCTGCTCAGCTGGTTCAGTCTATTTATTTCTCCTAATATATCTTGCACATTCTCATCTTTGCCACCTAGTGGGATGTACTCTCCTCCAGCTTCTCTCTAAATACTACCCAATTCTTCATGAAGTCTCTCCTGGGTACATCAACCTTTCCTTCTTGGTAATTCATTAGCTAAACCACTCAAGCAAGTATATCAGGATGCAAATAATGATGAATGATGTTATCTTAAGAATAATCTTCAATTCTGTGTGTATGTGAAATAATCTGCAAACTCTGGTACCTTAACTAGTTTGGATACACATTATTGTGACATGCTATGCAATTTATAGTGACATACCATTGTACTGAGACACCATGATTGAGAATTGCTCATCTAGACTACTCACCTGGTTCTTGCATTAGGTCAGAGCTCTTGTGCTGTTGACTCATAATATATTATTATTTTTCTAATGTATTAATTTTATATAATTTTTAAACATATCACAAAATTGGAAAATGTTACTGGAAACTTCACAGCTGTATTTCTTTTTAGCTTTTTGTATGTCATAACTCGATCCCAACCAGATTAGAAATTTCTTTGTCCTTTTGTCTGTATTAAGAAGGCAATTAATAAGTATTTGTAAATGAATCAACTAAAAGATAAACTGGTGATGGGAAAATACTATGAAAATAGTTCTAGATAATTATAGTGGCAATTTAACAGATATATTAAAGAAGAAAAGGAATCTATTATTAAAGTTGCTGCTGGCCTGTGGTGTTCCCACAGTATTTTTTTCACACTTTTATTATTGCACTTACAATGTTCGGTTATAATTTATCTTTTCAAATAGCTGTCTCCCCTTCTAACCTTGAACAATTAGAGCACAGCGTCTGAATCTTATTTCTTCTTATAATCCTGGCACACATAGTCGCTGTCCAGTTAATGTTTGTGGAAAGAATAAATGACACTTGATTTTGAGATCAAAATACTATTTTTACTCCCTGCTAAAACTGATATATCTTCTTACTCTTTCAATCTTGAATATATTTTAACTAAATTTTCCTTCTAATCCATCAATAGTTAAAGCAATGGATAAGGCTAGCTGATTATTTTAGGCTAAGAGATACAGATGACTGTAGTTTGGTGGGGGTAACTCTGCTCTGAGGTCTAGTTCCAACAATACTTTAGAAAGTAGTAATCTAATCCATTCTTGAGCAAGGAAACAACATGGTGGTAGTAAAGAAATATTACTCTATCACTTTTAGGCAAGATAATTAGAAGGCTATTGCAATAATCTGAGTAAGGGCATACAAACCTGATGAAAGGTAACAGAAAAGAAAAGAGGAAACACATTCTATACATACATACATTTTCATTATTTTGAACTTTTTTTCTGATTTAAATTACTACTTTGATGTTCAACAATGATTCCAAGACCATTCAATGGGGGAAAGAATAGTCTTTTCAACAAATGATGCTGGAATAACTGGATATCCACATGCAAAAGAATGAAGTTGGACCTCTATCTCACACTATATACAAAAATTAATTCAAAATTGATCAAAGATATGGATCATAATATTTAATAAGAGCTAAAACTATAAAACTCTTAGGAGAATACTTAGTGTTACATCTT